ACACAAAGTGCCGCTCAAGTGAGTTTTCGAAAAAAAAAATCAGAAGACAAATTATACATATTTTGTTACAAAGGGGCTACAATGCATCCAAGATCGCATAGACGATTCGTTTTTAGGATCAGACGTCAGTGGAACACAACTGTATAGGATAATTAATATATTGCATTCTTCGAATTTCAGTTTTTCTCGTGTTTTGTTTTAACAAAATGTGGAACACCACTCTTGCTAACAAAACAAAATTAGAAGTGATCTTAAGAATGTAGGCCGCTAACATACTTTAGCACTTCTCCATCTTTACTGTTACTTTAGCACTTCTCCGTCTGACATGTCGGAAGCCTTGCTAAAACAACGTAAACCGCCAACAAAGATGGAACTCACGCGTGGCGAAAATGAGTTTTAAACACAAAACAGGCTACTAGGTGATATCGGTGGGTTGTGAAGCCTAATGCTGGAAAGGCTGCTGGAGAAATGGAAAGATGCAACCGTGCGCCTATGCAATATACGGCAAACTAAGAACCGGAGAGGAAAGGAAACGTTAAATACATTGTTGGAGGAGGCGTATAACAATGAAATACAAGTGCTCGGAGTTTCGAACTATAAGTGGCGCAGGGGGATAGCAAATGTGAGAGCAAATTCAAAAGTCCTTTCGTATAACGTTCTCCACGAGAGGAAGAGATACTCGGAAATTAGCTCGAGTAATAGCAGTTGCCAAAAGCAACCACTCACATGCAAAGCTATCAGTTGTACCCTCTTTCAAAGTCTGCTTAGAAGCAAGCTAGTGACAAGATGAGTAAATCGTAGAGAGATTGGCTGTCCTACTGTCTAAATCAGACCTTCGACTTACTGCATTTCAACAGCGCTACTTCTCACTGTGCGACACCCACTAGCGAAAATAAATTAGTTAGTGAAGAGAACTAAATAATACAAAAAAAAAAAAACAGCGATGGATTTTCAATACTGAATTAATGAGTTATTGAGTGCAACAGCACAGATGTATTTCTCCATCCTGGAAAAAGGGCAACTGTGAAATGAGAGTGGAGAAAAGAGCTGTTGACGCGAATTAAAAAAAAAAAAAAAAGACTAGATCAATCTAAGAGGATATTTGAAATTTTTGCTGTGCAATGAAGCCAATTGAAACTTTTTTGGACAGCAGAATTCCACGTAGACGATCCTTCTGACTTCTTTTTGTTTTTTAATGGGAGAAGATTTTGATGCTAAAAGTTTTTAGAATTATTCAGGTGCAGTTCATAGAATAACTTTTCCAGTTGCTTTTACCAGAGTTGCATGACCTGGTCAGCTTGCTGATCGCCCTGACGTCAGTTTTGTCTTCTGTAAGGGTAGACAATTCGGCGATTATCCAATTTTGCATGAATTTAGCTTTTTCGAAATGTCATTGGTGTGTGTTGAGCATCACCACTTCGTCTCAAACCTTGCCACTCCATGATGACAGTGAGGTGCTTTGCCATCTATGACTTTATAGGATATGCTTTGATAATTTGAGTACAGAATATATAATAAGCAAAAATAATAGGGTAACATGAAGTTAA